CAGATCAATCGGTAGAAGAGATGTTCAGTCCAGATACAGTAGTGATGGTAGAAAGAATCGGGACAAGATTGGTTACAACAATCGGTCTTCTTCTAGAAACCGTTTGTCGAGAGATGACAAGTACAGCCGTAGATCACGGTCGTCTTCTAGACACCAAAGATCAAAATCCAGAAGTCCGAGCTTTTCAAGGTCAAGATCATACAGATATAGGAATAAATCTTCAAGCAGCAGCAGTAGCTCGAGATCTCGATCAAGAGGCTATGGTCATTCAGGGTCAAGACGTCATAAGTACGGGTCCCATGATAAGTATTGCAAGCCATCTAGACGACATGACAGAAGTCGCTCTTCGAGTTATTCTGATCGAAGCAAGTTAGAAAAGAGGGGTAACCCGAAGGAACTTCCAAGTATTTTGCGGTATGATGGGAAGACAAGCTGGTTATCTTTTAAAGAACAATTTGAAAGTTATCGAGCTGTTTCGAACTGGACTGACAGTGAAAGTAAAGATTACCTTACTTGGAGTCTTCAAGGTAAAGCGTTAGATTTCTTCACGATAACAAATAAAGCAGGGCATTGCTATTCATATAAGCAAATGATGAAGAAATTAGAGACCAGATTCGGCGACCAGGAACTTACCGAGACGTCACGTGTTAAGTTCCAGCAGGCTAGACAATCATCAGATGAATCTTTAGATGATTGGGCAGATCGAGTGCTGACACTTTCGACATATGCATTTAAGGATCTACCCGAAGAATACAGAATGCGAGAGGCAATTTCGAAGTTCTGCCAAGGATGTATTGATAGAGAAGCAGGAAAGCATGCATGTTTCGAACATCCTAGGAGTATACAGGCTGCACTTAACGCTGTAAAGCATCACCAGTATATCTCTGAGGCAGTGGATGGCAAAAAGCATTCTAGAAGATCTAAAGATGATGTTTCAATTAATGCCGTAAATACATCAGCTGAAGCCAGGGTGGAACAATTGCTGAACAAAGCTATGGAACAGCTTAGCAGTAAAATTCAGCAATTGACTACAACCAATAAAGAAATTGAATTTGCAAACAAAGGGGCCACATTAAGAAAGAATGTCCAGGATTTAAAGAATGGTTGAAGAAAAAGGGGCTATCTAACACTACGGAGCAACAACGAAATCCAGCAAATCGTGATTTAAACAAGAAAGGGCTGAATGGAATGGCCAACCGTTCAAGCCCGAAGAAGTAACTGGTCAAAATGGTAAAGATTCTGCGACTTCTAGTCCGGAAGCTGATGTCATCTGTGAAGAACAACCAGTTACAGATCACGAAGATGTTATTAGCCTTCATAAAGGTGACAAGACTTCTAGTCAAGGTCATCAAAGATCATCTAAACACCCTAAAGTTACTGCAACAATTAAATCTGATGAAAAAGACCATACAGATGGCATGACTTCTAGTCATGTTAATGAAAGTGAAGATATTTTGAAAGATGGTAATACAGTCAAATTAAATTTAGGTATCCAAGAAACACAGAATGACGGAATTGTCAGCGTTCATCAAGTGCGAGCTGGTTCTTCTTTTGTGTTACTGACAGTTGGTGATCAAGAAGTCAAAGCAAGAATTGACTCTGGTGCTGAAATTACCATACTCTCTTCAAAAGTCTTCGCTACCTTGAGCAAAAAGCCTGCAAAAGTAAAAGATGTAGTTATGCAAATGGCAGATCAAGAAGCAGTACTAAAAGGCTTTATCACTAAACCATTAAGATTGCAACTTGGATCTCAAGTATTTCATGAAAGAGTTTATGTTGCACCTATTAGTGATGAAATGCTGCTTGGACATGATATAATGCATCATTTAGGAGTTATGATGGATATGCATTCAGACACTTTAATTGTGAATGGTGAGCAGATTCCCATGAATACAAGCTTTAGAGAGGGAAAGCTGACTATTGCAAGAGTTACAGTGGCAAAACGTACTGTGGTTCCGCCAAATTCAGTTGTTCGGATGTCATGCAGTCTCAACACACATCTAAGTGACTATTTTATAGAACCAGATGAAAAGTTGAATTCAGTTGGTATATTGATGCCAAGGACATTGATGTCTTCAGATACGGAGCCAATTGTTTGTTTAGTCAATCCAACTGACTCTTACAAGACATTCAAGAAGGGTAAAGTGATTGCAAATGCATATGAAGTAGAACATATCCTAGATGAGCAAAGCGAAGTAGCTACATCTCTGCCTAAAGAAAATGAAGTGACTTCTAGTCATTCTAAAACAACATCGTCTAAATCTCGAAGGATTTCTAGTTCTACGAGATTAAGAGTTAGAACAGTCGCCGAACAGTTGTGTGAATCATTAGAGACTCCAACAGAAGTAGTTCCAGATCATCTGCTAAAGTTGTATCAAGCTTCTACTGAACATCTTAATCAAGGGCAAAGTAAGAAGTTAGCTAAACTCCTTAGCGATTATGAAGATGTTTTCGCTAAGAGTGATTTCGATTTGGGAAGCTTTACTACAATAGAGCATACCATAGACACCGGAGATGCAAAACCCATAAAACAACGCATGAGGCGCACACCAGCTTGTTTTGTTGGGGAGGAAGAAGAGCATCTGAAGAAAATGGTGGATGCCGGTGTCATACAGGAGTCTGTATCAGAATGGGCGTCCTCTCCAGTTCTGATCAGAAAGCGTGACGGATCTGTAAGATGGTGTATAGATTACAGAGCCCTTAATGATGTCACGGTTAAAGATACTTTCCCATTACCATTGGTCGAAGATTGCTTAGATACATTGTCAGGAAGCATCTGGTTTTCTAAATTAGATGCAAACTCAGCGTATTGGCAAGTCAAGATAAGTGAAGAAGACCGAAAGAAAACAGCGTTTCTAACAAAATACGGTTTGTTTGAGCATGTTAGAATGGGGTTTGGTCTGACCAATGCACCAGCCACATTTTCCAGAGTGATGAATCTGATATTGCGTGGATTAACTTGGAAAACGGTACTGGCATTCTTAGACGATATATTGGTGCTGGGAAGGAATTTTGAGGACCATCTGGGAAATATAGCCGAAGCCCTAGAAAGATTCCGCACACATGGTTTGAAGCTAAAGCCAAGAAAATGTGTTTTCTTCCAAAAAGAAGTAGAATTCCTTGGAAGAACAGTTAGTGGGAATAAAATGGCCATGACTTCTCGAGATATAGAAACAGTAGCCAACTGGCCATGTCCAAAGTCATCCAAAGATGTTGAAAGGTTTTTAGGCTTAGCAAATTACCATCGTACATTTGTCAAGAACTTTGCGGAGATAGCACTGCCGTTATACAAACTAACGGGAAAGAATGAATTTCATTGGGGCGATAAAGAACAAGAAGCATTTAATACATTAAAGGTAGCTTTAACATCACCACCAGTTTTAGCTTTACCAAATCAAGAAGATTCTTTTATATTAGATTCGGATGCTTCGGATTCGGCTATAGGTGCAGAATTACTTCAGGTTCAAGATGGAGAAGAGAAAGTCATTGCTTATAGCAGCTTTTCATTGACTCCAGAACAAAAGAACTATTGCACCACCAGAAAAGAACTTTTGGGCATTGTGAGGTTCACGAGGCAGTTTAGGCATTACCTTTTAGGAAAAGTCTTCACTGTGAGAACTGATCACTCCAGTTTGACCTGGTTATTAAGATTTAAGGAACCACAGGGTCAGCTGGCTCGATGGATAGAGGAACTTTCACAGTATAACATGATTGTTAAACATCGAGCTGGATCGAAACACGGCAATGCGGACGCGCTGTCAAGAATTCCGGAAACTTTGACACCGTGTAAATCGTATATAGCTGGCATGAAGCTTGCAGATTTGCCATGTGGTGGATGTCCTTACTGCATTAGGGCTGACGAGCAATGGGCCAAATTTATTGATGATGTCGACGACTCAGTAAGATTGGCTCAGCAGGGTATAACGACATCCAATTCAGTGAACGTTCATATGGGGGCAACTGCAGAACTGTGCGGGTCAAGTCTTGAAGATGTAGCAAGTATTAGGATCCAGGTTCATGATGAATCTGACTTGAGTACATCATGCAGAACAAGAGATGCCCAAAATTTCAAACAAATAACTTCAGTAAAAAGGCAGTGCTATGATGAAGAGAACAGTACAGATCTTCTAGATCGTACTGAAACGAGTACAGATAGCATCGGTTTTCTAGACCATGCTGAATCCGGACTGGTGGTTGTGAAAAATGAAGTTCCAGGTGGCTTCTAGCCTTTGAGAATCTTTACAGCAACGCCAGTGTACCAAAAGGACTTCTAGTCCTTCCTCTACAGCCTACTTATTTAGGGTAAGTTAAAGCCGCGATGTGATATTAATTCACAATTAAGGAAGTAAACGAGCTTCTAGTTCTTTACTGATGCATTCACAGCATTACTCCCAAGACCGAAGCCTTCATTCATAAAGTTGGGGGGAGTGTTGTGAATGCAGGAAATGATTTAGTGGTCCTAGACCTACCGGACTGCATGCGCATGCGCGACGGTTTTCGCGGGACTGAAAAAGTACCCGGATAGTTCTAGGATTGAGTAAATTGAGTTCTGCGTTGGCTGGCGAAGTGGCAACATCGAGATCAAGCTTTGGTAAGCTCCCGGCCTGTTTTCCCTTCTTTAGGCTATGATTTAAGGAAATACAACATTAATTAACACAAATGTATAAACAAAGGGGAGATAATTTGCCATTTTCTACTTTCGTTTTCGGTACACACATTTTAATAATCATACCCCATACAATAGGACTAGCTGTTGCAATTATTAATCGATATTATAAATTCATTTAAGGAAGAGCTTAATAAAAGTCTAATTAATGTGTGTTGATATTTAAGATTATTAGCCTCACGCGGAAATTCCCCAAAATCCAACTTTCGTTTTCAATTGATAAAACATTGGTAATTTACCTAAGCTAGTTAATTGTTTTTGACTTGTTATGTTAAAATTTCATTTAAGTAAAAAATAATTTACTTATTAGTCACAAACGTTTCAAGATACTTACCGCAATTCCTTCAAATTTTGAGACTATTATCCGGGGCTATTTTCCGCCATATTGATTTACTCCAATTTTACAGCGCATGCGTATGGTAAACGAACACTACTAAATTATCGAAAGATTTCACAACACTAAATATTTCCCTACACTTTCTTTAGAAAAAAGGATTAAGAGACTCTTTAATCGTTAATCTAGCACAACACAAAGTCAATTCACAAAAATTACATACTTCGAAGAAATAGTGTTTACAAAAGATCGTGTCTACCTCAACATGACTCGTACTTGTCACAAAAACATGTGCTAAAACAACAATGTATTTGTTTTATGACCCTACGAGCTTGTACACGTATACATTATGGTTAGTCATAAATTCAAGTTCCATACAAAATTGTGTGTTTGTATTGTAAATTTTAGGGAATATTTATGTTGAAAAAAGGCATATTGACTCGAATATTGGAGCACCGTACAACACTGAATTTAAAAACCGCATTCTTTTTCTGTTGAGCGATAAATACTGGAACCGTTTTCATTTGCACCATACTTTATAAGTGACTGTTAATTTACCTGCTGTTATGTTATATGATGCTGTTATCACATGTTATTTTATGGAAAACTTCCGGTTTTCTGATCTGTCTGGTCTATGTAAATAATACTAGTTAGATAAGTGCAATGGTATCTTATATATTTTATTCTGATATCGAGAAAAGGACACAAAAGTATTTGCTAGTACGCATGAAAATCTCTTGTTTTGTTAGGAATTAGCCTAGCTGGTGACATTTAGCTTTTTCTAAGAACTGTAATGTTTGCATGCGAAAAAGCAGCTTCAAATAACATGTTCTTGTACTGAGAGAGACAAACACTTCGTAAAGCTGAAATTTATTTTCAAAAAGTTGTCTGTTTTAGAATGACGTGTATTCTTAGAACCCCGGGCTCGTCTTGAGTCTTCATTTAAACGTTTCACCTTTACTTATAAGTTTTCTAATTAGCAAGGTTTCATGTCATTGATTTTGTGATTTTACATATATTAATAGCGGATATGCAGCTAATGATTGTCTTACAGGCATATCGTTGCAAAGGCATAAATTAAGGCTATAATTATATATTCTGTTATTTGTTTCACATTTAGTGGCAACAACAATGATCAGCCTGCCATAAAAAACTTTGAGAAGAAAGAAATTGCTGTGTTATATAATGTTGCTGGTATTCTCGGTCAATGACTCATCAATAAGCCTATCTATTTCCGACTGAAGTTTCACAGACGAGTCTCTATGAGAATGCATGGATGTTCTGCTGTGTTTCATGGTAACTCTCGATACAGTCTTGCCTATTATAAGTGACTTATAGAATCAGAAATTGAGCTGAACTTTGTGCTAACATATTTTGTTGTTGTTTTTGTTTGACACAACTTAGGTCATATGGCGCCAAACTGAAAATATGATTTGTGCTTACCTCGGGAGTTACAAACTTAAAGAAAAACCCGGGATCAAAACAACCTCACCTGTTGGAGCTAAGAGATGCAGATACTCTGGTCATGCGAACCCAATTGGTCGCCTCTTACGATCATGCACGGATGAAAGGCAGCTGCAATTTTGATGCCTCAACTGTCAAAGGCAATCGACTCCTATAAGACTCAAAATTAGCAATGTTTCATATGATTGATTTAAGTGATTTAACATATAGAGGGTATGTAGCTAATTATTGTCTAACACGCATATCGTTGCAAAGAAATGCATTAATATAATTATATATTATGTTATTTGTGTCACATTTAGTGGCAACTGTTGTCTTGAGCCTTCATTCAAACGTTTCACCTATACTTATAAGTTTTCTAATTAGCAACCATGTCATTAATTTTAGTGATTTAACATATAGAGGATATGTAGCTAATTATTATCTTACAAGCACATCGTTGCATAGACATGAATTAAGACTATAATTATATATTATGTTATTTGTTTCACGTTTAGTGGCAACTGCAATGATCAGCCTGCCATAAAAAAAACTTTGAAAAGAAAGAAATTGCTGTGTTATATAATGTTGCTGGTATTCTCGGTCAATGACTCATCAATAAGCCTACCTATTTCCGACAGAAGCTTCACAGACGAGTCTCTATGAGAGTTCATGGATGTTCTGCTGTGTTGCATGGCAACTCTAGATACAGTTTTGCCAATTATAAGCGACTTATAGAATAAAAATTTTGCTTTACTTTGGCGCACCGAACACAATTTAGGTCACATAAAAAAGGAATGATGTTTTTCGCTGTCTTCGGGAGTTACAAACTTCACCAATGAGTTGTTGAAATATTGATCAGTAAACGTTTTTACCTATAATGTGATCTTGTCAATGTGATCTTGACCTCTGTCCCCTTGACCCCAAAATACCATTGTGGTCATCTTCTGACTAAAAGCAATGCATCTGAAGTTTGAAGGTAAAAGTCAATCGGTTGTCCAGTTATTAATAGGAAACCGTCTTGACATACCAGGATAAGGTAACCTTGACCTTTGACTCCAAAGTAAAAAGGGGTTATATATTCGCCAAGAACAATCCATAGACGAAGTTTGAGGACCACAGGCCAATGGTTTGTCAAGTAATTGATCAGAAATCGTTTTTAGCTACAAGGTCAATATGACTATGACATTATAGCAATGACCACAAAATCAGTAGCGGTCATCTACTTGCCAAGACCAATGCACCTACAAAGTTTGAGGGTCAACAGCCAAAGGCTTGTCAAGTTATTGATCGGACACAATTTTTACCTACAAGGTCAATATGACCTTGACCCAAAAATCTATAGGGGTCATCTACTAGCAAAGTACAATGCACCTATGAAGTTTAAAGGCTAACAGCCAATGAGTTGTCAGGTTATTGATCGGAAAGTTTTGACCTACAATTGACCACAAAATAAATAAGTGTCATCAACTAGTCATGAACAATCATCAGTTTCTAGGCATAAGCGTTTAATCAGAAACCGTTTTTACCTACAATGTAAATATGACCTTGACCTTTGACCCCTTGACGCCAAAATCAACAGGGGTCATCCACTGGTCATGAACAATCATCATATCTAGTTTGAAGTTCCTATGCCTATTGGTTCTTTAGTTATTGATCAGAAAACGATATTACCTATACTATCAATGTGACCTTGACCACTTGACTGCAAAATCAATCTGAATCACATACTGGTCATGAACAATCATCATACCAAGTTTGAAGTTCCTTGGCCTAAAAGGTCTTAAGTTATTGATCGGAAACCGTTTTTACCCACAAGGTCAATGTGACCTTGACCTTTGATCCCAAAAAGAATAGGGGTCATCTACTGGTCATGAACAATCATCATACTAAGTTTGAAGTTCCTCTGCCTAAAAGTTCTTTAGTTATTGATCAGAAACAATTTTTACCTACAAGGTCAAAGTGACCTTGACCCAAAAATTAATAGGGCTCATCTTCTGGTCATGAACAATCATCATACCACGTTCGAAGTTTCTAAGCCTAAAAGTTCTTAAGTTATTGATTAGAAAATGTTTTACCTTCAAGGTCAATGTAACCTTGACCTTTGACCCCAAAATTAACAAGCAATTATCATAGTATTGCAAGCAATCCATAAGTCCCCTACCGGATAGAACCCCATCAGCATTCTGAAGGGCCATTGGCCATTCACTAATGTGTAAATTTTTCTCTATTTTAAGTAAATTTGTTGGAAATGTTCTTTAAAAGTGATCACAGGAAAAAGTTTTTATGAACAGACAGACAGACGGACTGAAGGACACTCTAAAGTTAATATTTGAAACATCCCTGTTACCAAAATATAACATTTTAAAAAGCAAAATTCTTAAAGAGGAGATAACTGTCACGGTTCAGAACTGTTCACTATTTCGGGGAGAAGATGTGTAAGCGGCCGGATAGCTCAGTCGGTAGAGCCGCGGAACGGTATTCCGGGGTCCCGGGTTCGTGTCCCGGTCAGGCTGCACATTTTTCTCACCCTGTGACATTTGGCGCCCAACGGGGGACCGTGACTGCTTATAGCTCAGAGTTCAATTAGCATTGCTCTGTAGCTTTGTGAAATTCGAGGACGAATTTCAATATTGTGGTGAAGTATGTCACGGTTCAGAACTGTTCACTATTTCGGGGAGAAGATGTGTAAGCGGCCGGATAGCTCAGTCGGTAGAGCCGCGGAACGGTATTCCGGGGTCCCGGGTTCGTGTCCCGGTCAGGCTGCACATTTTTCTCACCCTGTGACATTTGGCGCCCAACGGGGGACCGTGACTGCTTATAGCTCAGAGTTCAATTAGCATTGCTCTGTAGCTTTGTGAAATTCGAGGACGAATTTCAATATTGTGGTGAAGTATGTCACGGTTCAGAACTGTTCACTATTTAGAGGAGAAAATGTGTAAGCGGCCGTATAGCTCAGTCGGTAGAGCCGCGGAACGGTATTCCGAGGGTCCCGGGTTCGAGTCCCGGTCAGGCTGCACATTTTTCTCACCCTGTGACATAACTCTGGAATTAAAGATGCAATTTCATAAAAAGTTTCAGCTCTTTTTGACTAATCACAAATATTGTTATATTTGCAATGTTTTAAGCCTATTTGTTGCCAAGGCAACCAATATTTTTTCAAAATAGGAAGAACAGATAAGACATGCATAATCTCAAGACTGTCATCTACCCATATGTCAAGTTTCATAAAAATATTTCCAGTACTTTTTGAGTTATCACTGGATTCAGTTTATGTGTAAAATTTGCCATATTTTCAGTCTATGTGTTACCATAGCAACCAGAATTTTCAACATAGGAAGAAAAGAAAAAGACGTGTATAATCTCCAGACTGCCATCTACACATATTACAAGTTTCATAAAAATATTTCTATTACTTTTTGCGTTAACACTGGATCAAGTTTATGTGTAAAAGTTGCCATATTTTCAGTCTATTTGTTGCCATAGCAACCAGAATTTTCAACATAGGAAGAAAAGAAAAAGACATGCATAATCTCCATACTGCCATCTATGCATATATCAAGTTTCATAAAAATATTTCCAGTACTTTTTGAGTTATCACTGGATCCAGTTTATGTGTAAAA